AAGTAGGATAGCATATGTGCTAACTGCTAACTTTGTGAATGTTGTCTTGTAGTATGAACTATCTACCTCATAGATTGACTTGTCTTGGTGGTTAGTGGACTATCCATCTAATTCAATATCCACGGCAGCCCTTTCGCTTATTTTAAATGCTGAGCTAGCCTACAAGAAAAGGCTATGAAATAGTTGAAGCATATGTCTTTTTTATGCTCTCCCTTTTGTAATTAGAAATTAAATGTATTTAACAAATACTCTTTTGTGATTAGATATCGAATGTCTTTGATGATTACTCTTTTGTAATTAGAGATGAAATGTAATGTATTTAAAGAATTTTTTTTTTTTTGCAAATAATGGATTTGTTACATGATTGATGTTGAACAATATATCAAGTGTCATTTAACAAGTGATGATAGGCAATATTAATAAGTGATGATGGTGAACTAACAACCAAGACTAGGAAATTAACACGTAATGTTATTCAGCTTAGGGAATCTTAGATTAACACATAATGTTAATTAATTAATAAATGTAGGGGGGCTAGAAAGTAAAGCTAGAAAATAAATGTATTAATTAAGTCTTGTTACAGTATAAACAAATTAAGTTATGTAATTAACAAGTAATGTTGAAGAATTAACAATTAATAAATAATGTTGTTCGGTTTAAGGAGTTGCAAAATGAACTTGACACATTTGTTGTAACAACATCATTTAAAAGTTTTAACGAGTAACATGAAGGAAACAAGAAGCCATGTTGTATGATTAACATATAACATTTATAGACTTCACAAAATGCGCTTGCCTCGTCAATTTTTCACTTGCAATTCTACCCTCATTTCCTGTCTTGCCTCAATAGCCTTCACAAATTTGACCCTTGTATAGAAGATGCAAAATAATTGATTTGCACCTGTATCACATTAAAAAGATAGAAATTTAATTATAAATTTACAACTAGAATTAGCATATTTGCAACGCACCATTAACTGTTTAACAACATAACATAAAATGACAAAACAACTCTAATATCAAATCCACCTACTTTCTACTTTTAACGTTGACATTTTACATCAACAAAATGCCCACAATCCTGCATGCTAAATAATTGATTCATTTGATGCCCATTCCCTGCATTGAACTCGAACCCATACTTTTAACACTTTTTTGAATCAGACTAGAAGAAGGAAGGATCATGAGAAATGTGCAAATGACGGGACGAATCCTATTGGCTCATGCTAGGAGGAGATGGGAGAATCATGAAAGAAGTGCAGAGAAATGGCGAAGTGCATGTCCGGAATGTGTTTTCTCTCGTTCCCTCAGCTTCTCATATTTTCTTTATTCCAGAAGGCCATTTCAATCATTTCCACCAATAACTTTATTTCATTTCAGGCCAAAATTCCTACATTGTATTATCAAAAATTTTCGGGTCTCATTGGTGAATAAGTTACATCCCTAGTCCTATATTGAAATTTTCCCTTAAAACAATTTAATAATCTCACAAAAAGAAAATAATGTTAGTAAGACAAGGCAAAAGTTGTTAATCTATATTTAGATATTCAAAATCTAATTTGACTATGAAAGATTAAAATGATGCAATAAGGGTCCACTTTGAAAGCGGGCTTCCATCTTTTCTCAAAAGGGACTCGACAATTTTCTTTTATGATGACTGGGTAAAGTTAAGCCCATCAAGGTCAAAGAAGAAGAAGTTAATTAAGCCCCTAGATTTTTTCCCCCCCACTGGATTGCTCAACGGAGGAAAAAATTGCCAGGTCAAATTGTTTGCCAAACCTTCAAGTTTGTTTTCCCCCTCTTATATTCGTGCCTCCATTAAAATCCTAAAAGTCAACAGGAACATATGAAAGCTTCCCTTGACAAAAGTAGCCATGGCATGCGTATAATTTTGAATTCAAGGATATTCACTTAAACTGTAGGCCTAGTTTTTGCTTTTTTAGCTCCTCTGTCTTTTTAGGTGAGTCTGTATTTGAGTTCCTTTCTTTTGAATGAAGTTTCCTGCAATTATTCAAAATAAAAAAAAAGTATATTCACTAAAACGTGGCTCCTGCTTTCACCCAACTAAACCATGGAGTTGGAGCCCATTTGGTTATTATAAATTATGTGAATGAAATGAATTAAAAAAAATAAAAATAAAAATAAGTTCAATTATCTTTCCCCTCAAGCTAAGTTAAAATCCAATAACACAATCTTATAAATTAAATTACTCTTTTCCTTCATGCGTATGGTTTATCTATTTCCTCTCTACATTTGATTATTTTATTTTTAGTCTTATTTTTTCATTTCATTTTGTTATCTTCCTTTATAGCAACCAGACACTCTCATGGTGTATGCTCACGCGTGAATGTGGTTTGATTCAGCAGTAACATACGGCAAACGAAATTGAATAAGAAAAAGAAGGCGCGAGAAATCAGAAGACAATATTTATATCGTTAACATGGGATCTCATAGAATTAAATGATAGACCAGCAAGAAAGAAGTTAAGATTAGGCGTCTCATAGTGGACAAGATAAGTTTGAGGAGGATGAAATAGCAACTCACAAGTATCCATCACGATGAATCCGTCTCCTAAACGGGAAAAACTGAAATTGCTCATCTGTGAAAGATGTGAGCATGCGATCCTTGTATCCTTCGCCGGCGCCTCATCATTAAAAACTCTAGTTTTTCTTTTCGTGAAATTCACGAACACCAATAACAAGATGAAGCCAATCCTTTACATTTTGTTGCGTTTATGAAATAAGTTGTGCCATTTGCAATTCTTGGATAGCATTGCTTTTTTTCTTTTAAAAAAATAGATTTAGCATTGAAGTATTAACTGATAACGATCGTGAGGTCAAACCCAGTAAAATTATACAAGTCATTAGACAATGAGTTGTCGTGTTGAAACAATTTGAGAAGGTCGCCATGCTAGCTACTTGTATGAAATTCAGAGCTCGGTGACTATCAAGTCTAATGTATCTTCTAATAATGAGTTGGATCTGGCATGTGTACTTGCATACAAGATAAACAAGACGACCCATAAAAAAATGACGGTGATTAATTTTGATATCCGTCTGAATAAAAGTCCTGTTCTTTATCATGAATGTACTAGCACTATTTCTCTCCCGTGTTGAGTGGATACATTTAATCATTCAAGATTTAATTCACACCACCAATTATGTTATTATTATCAGTTTTGACTAATATGAAATGGAGATGGTTGATTATGAAACAGACGTGCGTGGAGACGGCAAGAAGGCAGCATAAAGTAAGTAATGCTCGGGTACGGCTTTTATTTATGGGCCTCAAACAATATACAAATTATGGGCCGATGTGTCTGTGGCTCAAAGAAGATTCAAGTTATGAACGGATGAACGGGACGGCAATGGCAATATGGCACATTGGGAACATGATAAATACAAGACTTTTTTGCACTCACATTAGCTGACCCTGGAGGCATATGCTCCTCAAAATTCGCCAATTGTCTCACTGGCTTGTCCCCCAAGTTGGCGTCTCATCTCAGGCGTATCTTCCATTCTTGAACTCATCGAAATCATCCTCCCACTACAACGAAGGGCCGCAACAAACATCCATGTCCGAAGCAACGATGGGAAACTCCACCACCGAATGTCCTTTCCATTTTCGATCATCAAGTCATCAATTACCAAACGCAATCCAGCCCTGAACTGAACTGTCAACCCTATTTCCCACGTTCTCCAAGAGGCATAAACTCCAATTCCAACTCCTATATTCCTACTCTGTCCTCGGGTTGACCGACTTTTGTCCCCTCCCTTCCTCTCATCTTTGTCCCTTTCCTGAGGGTTTTTTTTCCCATTTCACTCCTTCCTTTTCCTGTTCGTCTCACGTGTCCATGTCCTCACCTGGCCATGCTCCCCTCTTCCTCCTCCTTCTGATTCCCTTTTTCATTCCTCTGGCTAGAGAAACCCGTCACGTTTCTTGTCGTAAAAGGTAGGCTTTCGCTTGCTCTCCCTCTCCCTCTCCCTCTCCCTCCCTCCCTGCCGTCGGGTGTTTCTGGGAGCTTTTGGTTGAGACTTGGGGCCTTCCCTGCCTGATTGGTGGGAAATTTCGGGAGGACCACTGAAGGTTGAAAAAATCTTTGAATTTTGGAGTTTCAATCCAGCACGGCTTAACGTGACATTTAAATCCAACTCATTGATAGCAGATGGACTGCATACTGTGTTCTTCACAAGTCACACTTAAAATGATCCCGAGGCATAGGATATTTTCCCCTTCATAAGTTATAATCTTCTTCACATTATTTTTGTTTTTGTTATTAATTCATATCTTACAGTGAATTCCACACCATTAGCTTTTAAATGACATGCTTACTGGTAATGTTAAATTATTTCTAATTAAGAAGCTCTGGTTTTTTCCCAGCTAAAATGGGAGCTAGCTTTCTAATTTTTACTGTTGCATTCGATTTCATTCAGGGTGCTGAGTGTGGACTGAGACACTGCCGATCAGGTTTAATCATTAGACCGGCTATCAATGAGGGGTGACACGGTGAATGGGTCATGGATCAGTGCTCTGTGGCCTGTCTCCCGCAAGTCTGCATCAGATGACAAGGCGGTAATAGGAATTTTGGCGTCAGAAGTTTCTTGGTTGATGCTGAAGGTGGTTAATTTATGGCACTCTTTAAGAGACCATGAGGTAATGAGTTTGAGAGCGGAAATAGTGAACTCACTCGGGGTCAAAATGCTGGTTTCTAACGATGATAGTTTCTTGATGGAACTCGCATTGAATGAGATACTCAATAACTACCATTGCTTAGCAAGGTCCGTGGCCAGGTTGAGCAAGAGGTGCGAGGATCAAGTCTATCATCGTTATGAACAATTTGTAGATAATCCTGTTTGGAGCTGTTTTCAATGGTCAGGGTGGGAATATAGATGGGAAAAGATGGATAGAAAGGTGAAGAAAATGGAAAGATTTGCAGCAGCCATGTCACGATTGTCTCAGGAGCTTGAAGTCCTGGCTGAGCGAGAACAGACTTTCAAGAGAATGCGGGCAAATCCCGAGATGAGTCGAGCCAAATTGCTCAAGTTTAAGAAAAAGGCCACGATGCAGCGCCAAGAAGTAAAAACTCTGAGAGGCATGACTCCATGGAATAGAAGTTATGACTATATTGTTCGCTTGTTGGCAAGATCATTATTTACAATTCTAGAGAGGATCGTACATGTCTTCGGAAATTATCCCCAGCAGCCAATTGAGCAGCGTGAAGATGATTATGAATGTGTATTACATACTGTTCCCCTTCGACGGTCCTTTTCCTTCTCTACTCCTATGCATCTTTATGTCCATTCGCAGAATAATCAGGATGAGTTGGATTCAGAACAGCCTGGGAGGAGGCATTTGTTCAACTCATCCGGGTTAGTGGCTGACAAGAACAAAAGGAAGAAGAAACAGCAACAAGCTCTTCATTTAGAAATCAAGCAGTTGGGACGTACAGGCGGATGCGTGTCAGCAGGAACTGATTCTCCTATTGTAGCAAAGTGTGGTTCTATGAGATCAAATGATTATCGAGTGAAATATGTTGAGAAAACCAAAACTGCAGATAATTCTCGTATTTTCAACAGGATAAGTATATATTCCAAACTATCCATCAATAGTCGATTGAGACCAGTACAGTTTACTCTCGGTGATGCTGCTTTAGCTCTCCACTATGCCAAAGTAATCATATTGATCGAGAAGATTGCATCATCACCTGACATGGTTGATTCTGAAACCAGGGATAATATGTACATCATGTTGCCGACAACGATCAAAACTGCTCTGAGGGCTAAGCTCAGGAGGGGCGGCAAAAGAAAGGCTTCCTCGGGCTGTGACCTCGCAGAAGGATGGAAAGTGGTGGTAACGCAGACTTTAGGATGGTTGGCTCCACTAGCTCATAGCATGGTAAGGTGGCATTCTGAGAGGAATTTTGAGAAGGAGCATGCAACTCCCAAGGCAACTATCCTGCTGGTCCAGACTCTGTACTTTGCAAACCAAGCGAAAGCTGAAGGTGCCATTGTAGAACTTCTTGTTGGTCTAAACTATATTTTCAGGATTCATAAGCAATCGGCCGGGCTCAAGAGACTCGCCTGACTTCAACGCCATTAGGTTGAGAAGTAAATCTACCATTAAGGATTACAGTGTCTGACATCACGGCAATCATACCTTGTTTGGATATATATGTTGGGAGTGATTGCGTATAGCTCCTCTCCATACGAGAGAGTGCATGATGGTACCCAATAGCACTCTTTCAATTCCATCAATAATTTTTGTATGTAATCAGTATAGTTTCAAGTACTTAGTTTAAATGCTTTTGTTCAAAATCCATCATATATATTTTCTTTCATAGATTTGCCGATTCGAGTTATAATGTACGGAGATATAAATATAATATATATATATATATATATTAGATAATAAATAATTTAACTGTTTCAGCCAATTGCCTAAAAGAGGGTTAACCGTTTTTTAGTAATAAATCAAAGATTCCATTACTAACAAGAAAATTAAAGGCTTTACACTGTACAAATATGCGCATACACCGATAAGAAAGCTAGAGGATTAGAGACCACCTTCTAGGAAGGGTTCCCTAATTCATCTTTTAAACTGTGAATTGTAAGAGAATAAAGCCTATACAAAAGGACTAATTTTGACTGCCAACACCAATTTTTATCAAGAGGTTCTTTAGTTGGAGATTTAGAAGAATCAGAGGGTAATGACTTGTGCGTATTGAGAGTGATTCAAGGATTACATTTATAGATTCAGAGACAATCGTAAATATCTACACAATAATTACATAGATAGTCGTATCACATCTACATATTAACTCATGATCATATATGATCAAATATTGATTATAAATCAGATTCAGTGTCACGAGCTTGATCTCATCTCGCACACGGTCAACATGATACGTGGACTCGGGCTTGCATGGGCTTGAGGTGATGGTTTTCTAACATCTCTTCAATATTCCTGTGTTTCACACCTGCACAGCTATAGTATATCCTGCTCATAATTTCTATCGAAATGTTGAGTTGTATTATTATATATGGACCCGAGCATTTCTTTCTCTCCAAGTATAATAGCAGCTACCAATCTTGCATACAACGTTTACCTAGAACATCTAGATAACCATCCTCGATCTTCTCTTGCTGAATTGTTTGGGAACATGATTCACTTGTGATACAAACTTGAAACTTCGTACCAAGATTTCAGAAGATAGACCAACGAACTTACGAACCAAGACGAAATGTTGAAACATGTGCTCAAACACAAAGCTTAGGATATCTGTCGCGTTCTGTTTCACTAGGCCAACTGGCCCATGTGCAAGGAAGCATGTGGTTGAGATCATCCAGGTAAGATAATTAATCTCTTTGATATAATCATATATATACCACCATACCGCAGTAGTTTCTTTTCCTTTTGTTTTGCTTTTCGCGTTCTTTCCTTTTTTTGAAAAAGAAATAAGAATGGAGAAGTCATTCTGGATATACTATGATGGTTTTGATCTCTTCAGAGAACTCTCAAGAAGTAGAAAAATATGTTGCATCGATCCCTGTCAAGACTTGAAATAAAATTTAAAAAAAAAAATCTGTGAAGATTGCAATTTTTTAGCTGTATTTCATGCAGGGTATGCCGAAATTGATAGAACACGCGTAATATCATTGCTGCACGATAGATTGATATAATTCTCTAAATTTACTGTCTAGGGGTAAATTTGTCATTCTCTTTAATGAGTCCTTGTTCTGTGCTCGGGCGCATTGCTTGAAGCATTTTATCATATGCATTGTAAATATGTTTAGTATTTTTAGTGTTATATGAATGGTAATATTCTTGATTTTATTGTGAACATATTCCACGGACAAGTGCTAAGTGCGAACAATTAGAAAATTACTGGACTCTAGAAATGACATCCCATGCACAGACCCAATAAAAAATTGCACGACGAGGTATACTCAAGTTTTATCAAAAGTTTATTAAATATTATTAATTACATTTGTTTTCTGAAAATCTGATGGCCTTTATGTAAAACTAGTATATGTGAAACTAAGTAGGTCATGAATTCATGTAGTGCATTGAATTTAATGAACAAGCCATGTTATTTGGGAATAGACGAATAGTATAAAGGAGTTAGAAGAAAAGAAAAGAAAAATAGAAAAAAAAATTGCACTCTATTAACATGAAGGGTTCATAATATATACACAATCTTATAATAACTAATAAATATTTTAATAATAAATAGTGAATAAAAAATATTATTTAAATTTTAACAGAATAAATCTTGATAACTAATAAATCTCAATAAATAATATATCTTATTACGTGTATTGTTCTGTTGCTTTTAGAACAGGTTAAAAGTTTGCAGCTTGTGGCCCGGCTGAGGATAGCAAAGTTTTTAATGTTAAGAGACTAATAATTAATAATTAAGCACACCGATAAAAATACATGTGCGACTGTGAGGTATGTATTGTTGTTTGTCTATAGTAATTTAAATTTTTTGTCAAAGAAAGTGGATTGCTTGGCCGGTCTTGCAAAGAATCAGGGAGAGCAAGTGAAGAAGGCTTCTGAAGGAGATTCCAGATCAACCACACATAATTGTCTTTACTTCGACATGCCTGTTCTCAATATTATGTTTATTAGTTTGCTTTGAAGTTTTAAAAATTGATCTGGCCATTAAATCGGATGACATCCAGATTCAAAGGCCAATGATGAGACAGCAGTCGAATGGTAATCAAGCATAATTAAATCAATATATTTTAAATATATCCTGATTATTTTTAGTAGTAATAAGAAAGAGGAAATAATAAAAAATATAAAAAAATGGTTTCAAATAAAAGCCGCGCAAACATTTATGTAATTTTGAAAGTTTTCGTGGCAGACGCTGATTCAGTATGACCCTACACTTGACGATCTTCGATTTATGCTACTCAAATTCAAGTCTTTTGAAATTGGGATTAATGAATTTAGATGATTTTTTTTTTTTAGAATTTTCACACATTTTATTATTTTTTATCAATATTTCATCTCCACGCATTCATATTCGTAAGTCTACTCACTTGAGTTGATGACTCGCTGATATGATTTCTCGAACTTTATCTGCAAGGTTTGCTTATCATCACTTGAGTTGCTGACTTGCTGATATGATCTGGGTGAATTATTCTGTGCGTAAGTTGTCTTTGTCGATAAGGTGTACTCTTAGTACATTCCGTTGACCCAGAGGGTGGCGTCCGTTATTGTTTTACGATATCAGACAAAAGCAAGCGACACTATAGGAGGTCTCACATTAATGGAACGTAAATAAACATAAGATCATCCAAGATGACAAGTTACGTATCGTACAGGAAGATAGCTAAAAGAAACGAACATTTGTTCAACTTTAATTGAAGCATTAAATAACCATTTTAGGCACCGCTCTCGAGCTTTCTCATGGTGATGCCCAGTCGATCCCTCATGTCCATGGTGAATGGCGTCACACACCCAGCAAGTGTCCAATCAAATCCATGAAGCAGAGAGCATAACACCAAGTGTAGCGTTCTATGAGTCAACGGCACGCCGACTCACATTCTCCGTCCAGCCTCAAACGGGATTAGCCCATAGTGATACCCCTTATAATCAAATCTTGGAACCCAAAAACCTCTCAGGCTTAAAGGCCAATGGGTCTTCCCATGCATCTGGCTCTCTTCCGATTGCCCACGCGTTTACAAGAACCTGAGCATCCCTGGGTATAAAATATCCCAGGAATTCTGTATCCTGCATCGCTCTTCGAGGCACGAGCATTGGAATTGGAGGATACAGACAAAGTGTTTCCTTATTTACAGCCTATGGAAGATTCTCTATGTCACTCTCTCCCACTTTCCTTTCAGACCCAACCACTTCTTTCAGCTCTGCTCTGGCCTTACTTAACGTCTTCGGGTTGCATAGCAGCTCCGTCAAGGCCCATTCGATAATGCTGCATGCTCGTAGTCTCTGAACCAACCAGGAAGGTTTCCTGAACCACAACCCAATTATATGTCAGAACTTCAAGTACCTCCACTCTTCAAATTAGCATTAAAATTTTTATATTTAGTATGCTTAAGAATGGTATACTCCATTAAAATAGCTTAAATTCAGTTAGATGCTTTTTAAACTTATATATTGATGATTTATCTTTTAATAATATTTAGATGTGAGATTTTCTTTTATTTTTTAATATTATTTATATTACTTTTTTCTCTCTTTTCTTTTTTTTTCCTTCTTTTTACCTGAGCTCATATTTTTTTTAAGTGTGCTTCAAGTCTATTCAATTTCTTCTTCTTCTCTCTTTCTTTTTTTAATCTCTTTTTTTTTTTCATCTTTTCCTTTTTTTTTCTCATTTTTTGTTCCCGATCAAATGATTTATGATACCATATTAAAATTTTTATATTAAATATGTTTATGGATATTATATTCAATCAAAATAACTTAAGCTATTTGATTAGATACTTTTTAAATTTATATATTTATGATTTGTCTTCTAATTTTTAAATGTGAGACTTTTTTTTATTTTCTAATAATTAGGGATGATTTAAGATGAAATATTAACTAGACTTATAATATGAATACGTTGAGGGACTCTATGTTTGTATCATTGCCTAGATGCTCGAGCAAGACATCCAAGAAACCCCCCGTGTCTTCTCACAACTCTTCTTTATGCACCCCTTCACAAACTTGAAAGCGATTTCTAAGTTTTTTCCCATATCTCTCTCCTTGTTCCTTTGAAGACGTTGTGGGTCCAACCATCTCAACCAGGGGAACAAGTCAACTACATCAGCGTGGGCCAACCACTCCCTCAAACCCATCATCGTCATGAAAATCTTCGAACCTTCATTTGATTCAGGTTCAAACATGTCACGTAGTAGCATCAAGTTCCCCAGCAAGTTAAAGCTCGTCAAGAAAAGGGTCGAACATGTCACGTGAAGGCCACTCCCCTCCTCTAACTTGCTGGCTTCCCTCGCGATCCAGACAAGCATGTCGTCCGGCCATTTTCACCATATGTGGGCGATTCAGTTGAGTCACTTGGCGACCAACATGTCAACAATGACGAGGCGTCGTTTGATATGCCAGAAAGAGCCGTAGGGGGCTAGGGCTAGAAAAGACTTGTCGTAGTTGTGGACGTGCCTTATGTCGGTTATTAGAAGATAAAACATGGAGATAAGAAGGGGAAAAAAAAATTAAAAAGAAAGAAAGAAAGAAGGAAAAAGAAGAAGAAATTGAATGGTCCTTTGAGACTCAAAAAAAAAAAAAGTTCAGGCAAGAAGAAAAAAAGAGTGAGAAAAAAAAAGAAAAAAGCAGTAGAAGGAATATTAAAAGATAAAAAAAAAATCCCATCTCTAAAGATTAAAAGATAAATCATAAATATATAAGTTTAGAAAATATCTAATCAAATGACTTAAGCTATTTTGGTGGAGTATATTATCCTTAATCATGCGTAATTTGAGAAATCTTATATGATATCAGCCATTTGATTGGGGACCAAAAAAAAATAGAGAAAAAAAATGAAAGAATGAAAGATGAAGGAAAAGAAATAGATTAAAAAAAACAAGTAAGAAGAAAGAAGAAGAAATTAAATAGACTTAAGACCTCTAAAACTAAAACAAGTATAAGCTCAAGCAACAAGAAGATAAAACAAGCATGAACCCAAGTAACAAGAAGAAAGTAAAAAGAAAAAAAGCAGTAGAGAGAAAATTAGAAGATAAAAGAAGTCTTCTATTTAAATATTAGAAGATAAATCATAAATATATAAGTTTATGAAGTGTCTAATCAAATGATTTGAACTATTTTGATAGAATATATCATCTTTAAGTACACTTAATATAAAAATTCTAACACTGGTGACGGTTTGTTCGGCAAAGGAGAGGTCATGGTTCTTGAAAAACTCAACGAAGGACTTGGCAGAGAGTATGGCCATGGTGTTGATGGCACCTATTTTGAGCCACACAACAGGGTTATATTAGTCTTTGAGATGGGCTGGAGTTTAGGGAGGCATGCATGTCTCCTAGCTGGAATATGTTGCCGAAGATGTGCCATCCTATCAGTCTTGGAAGAGGGCAACGCTTGGAGGCCAAGATTGTGTGTGGAGGAGGAGCAGCACCATGACCGGTGATAAGAATAAAAGACACCATAGTGAGAAATCCAGAGGTCCTGCTTTGGTTCTTGGAGCAAGATCAGTCAAGTTGAGATGGTAAATGTATATCGATCCCTGACTAATTTTTCTGAAGTCTTCATTGTTGCTACTGCATATAGTATTATATTATGTAATTATGCATGTATTATTGAGAGAAATGTTAATAGTCAACGAGGTGGGTGGGTGTTTTTCATAAAATCACTGTCAAGTATCAACTAAACATCAACAACGAGCATGACCCTGCTTAAAAAAACACGGCGCTGGTCATGAAAAACAAGGCTACCCATAAATTATAACAATCAGTATGGCTTGAGTTTTTGGAGACAATTATGTTATCTACACATCTCAAAATATAGGGTTTAAATAATTATGAAGAGTATAAGTTTTAAAAATAAAAACAGTATGTTATTGGATAGGAGTACAAAATTGCTAGTTACAAGTATAGTTGAGTTTGCTTAAATTGAATTATATATTACAATACTAGATATTTTACCAAAAAAAAAAAGAATACTAGAGATGAAAAAAAAAACTAGATATATAGTGTAAGTAGAGATTATTGCATGCGGCCTCGTTTCTATGACACCAACCGTGAGTCTTTGATTGAAGAGTCCTTGATACTGCATCATATATCTTATATTATATGCAGGAATCTAAGACATCATAAGTTACAGGGAATAGGTGTAGTCAATGTCTAGTTGAAGAGACACGTATAAGTTCTATCCATGCTTCTATTCTGGTTGAGGTTGCGAATGCAAAATAAAATGGAGATGTTGCTCTCCTTGAGAAAGAGAGACGAGAAGGGATACCAGCCTATCAGGAAATAATGAGTAGTCAAACGGGATGGTTTAATAATGTATATGATTGAAAATTACTATACTAACTCTCTATATCGACATCGACATTTTTGCATGTGTAAGAGAGGGATTTGTAACAAAATAAAGTAATGATGATTGTAGCTTGCTCTCTGTATTCTGTTATTATGGGGCCTGAGATTCAGTGATATAAAAAATAAAGTTTATAGCAAATTATATTATTAACAAGTGATGATAATTGTTCGTTTTTAAACTACAAGAACTCGTTGAATAGAAGATCCTGATTGCTTAGCCAAAAATGAGGTGTGTAGTGAAAGAAGAAAGAAAGAGGGGTGCAGGGTAGGACAACATAAATGAGCAAACACGTGTGGATATGGGGATATTGCATCATGCACAAGATCTACTTTGAGTTTATTTTATGAGGGCCTTAGAGATGAAATACTGCAGCTAGAGACGAGGATACTGCATCATGCACGAGAATTTGCTATAAGTCAAATTCTCTATTTGCTTATGATCAACTTGATAGAAGATTCTACCAATGGCCATTATAATCATGATGTGCTTCAAGAAGTTAAAAGTAATAACCCTCTTTAGCTCAGACCCAGATGTGAGTTTGTTTGTGTTAATGCTGATGCTTCAATTGGGCATCCAAACCAAGTAGCTTGTGGATGAGTGATTCAAGATCAGGAAGGTAAATGGATCTTTGGTTTCAATTGTAAGTTGAACCACACTACTCTCTTAACAACATAGATCTTGCCAATCTTTTCAAAATTACTAATATGCAAACAGAATGGATTTAACAAAATCTAATTAGTTATCGACTCTCTTGAACTATTAACACTTTGTTCAGAAGTAGTGAAAGGAATTATTTTTATGGAAGTATCATTGATTCAATTAGAGATCTCATATATCACAAGTTGGGAACTGGAGGTCAACTACAGCTGTAAAGAAAGCATCAACTGTCAAATGACAAGATTGGGTCATTCCTCTAATATTGATATCATGACCTTTTTGGTAGCTACAGCTGAATATAGTTAGATTTTAGCTGATGACTTTGCTAACAGTGTTTAATATGTTCTAATTTGTACTCACTTTGAGCTTTGCCTGCCCTTTTATTAAAAAAAATATATTTTATTGGGGCACAAATTTTATATTTGCTGTTGTTTAAGAGATTCAAGACAAGGATAAAACAATCACCCAAACAAATTTTTTAGAAACATCGCTGCCTTTAGCCGAGGCATGGTAGCCTGGGCATGTCCAAGAAGCAGCGCCGATATGTAGCTGAGTCGGCATTTGCATGAATATCAGTATTTGAATATCATTTAATTTTTATAATATTTTAATTAATATCATTATTAACATTTTACATGCCTGAAAAACACCGGACCACCCTTTTTAGCTTTTAGTTATCCAAAGTGGCAGAGTCCAAACAACGCTGCCACTTTCTCAGTTCCTTCTCTAAGGTCCATTTTTCGCTCCAGTTTGTTGGCATTAGTGCGCTTAAAATATTTGGGCTTTCCAGAGGGGTATTCTGACACAAAGCCCATGTTGGAGAGCAATGAAAAGAAAAGTCGAAAGACACGTCTAGTTGGGCTTGGGCCTTCATCTACAGTTCGGACCCAAAAGCCCTTCTACTGTGCTGGCGGTGAAATATGAATTCTGAAGCAGTATTTCCCGAAGTGATCCAGCAACTATGGTACCTGAGAGCTGATGGGAAGCAAAGGTTTGTTGCAATACAAGTTATACAGAACTCTGAGCTACGGTGTTTCGCCGTTGGTTTACCTTCACTTGCGCTGGCGTCGCTTCCGGGGCCTCGAACACCCCCACCGTTGGCCGGAGCGTCTCGGTTACCCCTCTCAGCCACGCCCTCCGGGACCTCTCATCTGGTTTCATGCTGTATCATTAGGTTTGGCTCTATTCACTGTTGGAGACGCCTAACCTCCACTTCTCTTCAACCCAACACCGCTGTAACTGCATTTCCTTTGAATGATCTTCCTTTAATACTGAATACTTTGGTATCTGATGCTCGAGTATCTCGGATGCAAGTTTCAGAATAACAGCATGCTAAATGTTCTGGAAATGGTGGGAAGGACGTTCGTAGGATGGAAAATTTTGGCGAACTTCTATTCTAAATTTAGTTTTGTCTTATTTGCAGGTGAAGGAATGGCAGCCATTCCTGTAGTCAAGCAGTGCATTCGGACGATCCCTAACTTAACTATATTGATGACCACCACAACAATGTCTGCATTGTAAGAAAGGACTTCGGTCTTGTTTGAACTAGCTGTGACTTGATTAATAATTAATATAATGATCTCCAATTTTTTTTTTTTTTTTCCTGGAAAGCCATAAAAGGTTATGACTTTCCGTCATAAATGTAGTGCCTTGCGGAATAGTTGCTAATGTCTTATAGCGGATGATTTAAGCTTGACTTGAAGCTTTCGCATATCTTTTGGTCACGCACGGTGAAGCGTTTGCCAAGTATTTTCAATTAAATTAATTACTGAAGGATTTGGACTGTTTAAGATGTGTATCCATCTATCAAACCAGACGCTCCCTGAGAGACTATAGCAGCAACTTTATCTCTTCCAGTGTTTCTTGATATGGATGTTCCTTTAATTTACTTTGCCAGAAAAGAAACAATTATTTCTATCATTATTTTATGGGGTTTCCTTTTGATGTAATGCAGTCAAGTACTAAACAATTGGCTTCCAAATGATATCATTTTCCAGGTATTTATTGGGATGTTCATGTGGTTTTAGTAAACTGTTTGCGACCCTGCCTTTTTCTAGAATGAAGTTTATTGGCCTCGTCAATAGCAAAATGACCTCATGTTAACTTCTGAAACACTTTAGGCTATGCTGAACTTGACAATTGATGTAAGTTGATAGAATGGGGAAAGATAATTTTTAACGGAGAGTTGGGGTGCAATAATTCATTCTTTTGGGTGTGTAATCTAGGGCTTTCTGTCTACTGGATTATCATTCCTTAAATTGTTTTGAGAAACAGAGAGCTACTGTTAGTTATACTCATTTTTCTGAAACAATTTTTTCCTGCCCTCAAGTATCGAAGCTGTGCTTTGAAAAAAAATGCTAAAAAACTTAATATAATGTCAACTTGCTTGTCAAGACAATAAATTTATGGTTGTATGTCTTTTTTTTTGACCAAGGACCTAATGCACTCTTGGAATGTCTTCCTCCATAACGTTACTTATTTTCATTCACTTTGTATCTCTTTTGCTAATAGTAGTTACTAATAGTCTAATACATATTTAGTGGCTTGGAATGACTTCCTCCTCGGTAATGCTTACTGTCATCCACTTTTATCTCCCTTGCTGATATCAGTTCCTAATACATATAAAATTGCATTGAGGCATTACTTGATTTCTTCATATTTTTAACTTTCAATTTGACAGATTCAGTTTTAACACATTATTTTTGTCTTCTGAAACTGCCTGATTTATCAGCTTGCACCAGTTGATGCTCCTGCTTCCATACATTCCTTCCTTCATTACTGGAAACCTCAAGCAATTGTTCTAATGGAAAGTGAACTTTGGCCAAATCTTATTATGGATGCTTCCAAAAATGGTGTAAGTCATTCTTTCTCATTAGTTCAAGTACTATGTGTTATTTATGGGAGTTCAAGTGAAAGCAGTGTGATGTATGATCGTTGTATGTGCATGTGAATTAGATATCAGACCACATTTTCATAGTAAAGAATTGTTAAAGGCACGTGAGAGAAGCTTGTTATGCATTAGTCCATGACCACAAAATATTTTAATTGCAGTTCTCCTTTAGATACATGTATCATATCACATGGTTGCACTTATTCTTATTGATTAAAATGGATTTTCCCCATCAGATAGCACTTGTACTGTTAAATGCCCGGATGTCAAAAAAATCCTTTAAAGTTTGGTCAAGTCCACTGCTTCTGCCATTAATTTCTTTGATGCTATCAAAATTTTCCTTGATTTGCCCATTGGTAAGCGCTTCCTTTCTTTTTGGACTAGAACGTTTATGCCTTTTACTCCCTCTGTTTCTTATAGCAGGACCCTTTTCCCTCTCTACAAAAAGGGTCTTATAATTAGGAACAGAGGGAATGTTATGCCATTTGACAATTTTGATTTTTGAATGCTAGAGTACAACTCAGGCTATCCGTTTTCAGCTACTGCAAGCTGCTCCTTTTCTCATAAACTTTTCTGGTGACCTAAAATATGGTATGCTACGTTTTCCTTTTGCCTTTATCAAATGAAATTTAGCATTTAATGTTGATATTAATCCATCGTAGCATTCAACATTGTTTTTCTCTCATTGCCTGGTAAGCTTTCCCAGCACTGTCATTTGTGTAACTGATAAGCCATTGTGTTGATGTCTTTATTGACCATTTTCCATTTGTTTTTCCCCCTTGTATTTTTATAAGATTCTGGGGTCTATTTGAAGTGGTTAATGGTATATAGTAATCTTGTTTTCTTACTATTTTCATTCAGTAGTAGAAGATTTAGGAGTCAATGAAGGGCAGATAACAAATATAGACAAACTGAAAGCAAAGCTTGCCTCCTGCCAGGTTTGGATGGCATCCTCCATTCATAGGGGAGAAGAAAAAGGTTCGTTCCCTCCACTCTGCTCCTGATTATATCATACAATGAATCCAGAATACTTTTGATAATTTATGCTTAATATTTAAACATTTGATAATTTGTGATGCATTTATTTTAGTTCTTGTTTGGGTCTCAGATCAAGTATTATGAAAATTGAAAGCAACATAACTGATATGCATATTTGATATCTTTTGGTGGTTTACTCATTGTCATTTTTAAAGTCAAAATTGTAACAGTTTATTCCTACTTCCTGGTGTTTTGTTAGATTGTGTTTCTGCAAGAAATTGATATCTTTTGGTGGTTTACTCAATGTAATTTTTAAAATGACAATTGTAACAGTTTTTTTCTACTTCCTGGTGTTTTGTTAGATCATGCATTGGCTAGAAATTGCCCTCAACTTAAAGAATTTCATCTGGTTCTTACTGTTTCTGAGCAATAAATATGGCAGCTGTCAAACAGATTATGTTTTAATATTTTACTTTGGCTTTTTTAGGTAAATGTTGATTTTAATTGTATGCAATACAGTAGCTAACAATTGTTCCTGATCATTTAGTACTCTGGCATTTTGCAAAGATTGTCATGGTTGCTGGTTACTGAAAGAATATGTTACAATGTGCTGGCCTGATGGCTGAATTCGTGGTACATTGTACTTTGGTGCTGCATTTATTAACTTAACCGTTTTCTTAACATGCTAATGAGATAATGAATGCTGAGAGTATTGTGTGCCCTCTGCAGTCATATTTGGAGTTCACAGATTTCTCATGCAACTGCTGCCTAATGTAATCACTATTATTGTCCCTCGGCATCCAAGACATGGACAAGAGATTGCTGAAGTAAGTTTTTTGTCAAGTATTTGTCCCTGCTTCTATCTTATGCATTTCCTTCAAAGCCTTTTCCTTTATCTGCATGTAACACCGAAAGCCCCTGTTAATATGATAAACCATTTTAATTTATCAGCAGTGAAAACACGATTGGGTTAGTGTCCTCCATGTGATATATATATATATATATGTATGTATGTTTTTTGTAATTACTTTGAAACCACCATTTTTACCACCGCATGGATAATTTACCATCTATTAAGTCAATTTTTTTAATCTCCCCTTGCATTGACAGCAGCAGTACCGAGTGCTCAAACAAGCAATAATGTGCAAACTGTAAAATGTATACCCATTAAGTCGCATTGAACAGAAATGATGCTTACAACAGATTACTGCCATGCTTTATGACATTTTGCGCCCTTTGTAAATTTTATTATTTATTATCCTTAAACTTCATGTAGTGTAGAAATTGGAGAAAGAAGGACAGGATGTAGCTTTGAGGTCTCGACATGAGGAACTTAAGCCAGGAACGCATATTTATGTGGTGGACACTTTGGGTATGATTTTATTTTCACTGATATGTACTCTTTTTGGGAAATTCCCTTTTTGTGAAATGAAAACTTGCTTTTCTATAGCTGCTGACCTTCCGCTCCATTGTTTGCCTCAATTTGCCATCTTCCTTATAGCTTGCCACTCGTTCATGTTAGCCAAGAAGATATTTAAGTGCTCTCAAGGAGAGATTGACAAGTGTCCTCCCATAAATTTTACCACCAAATATGAAAATTGACCAGCTGTTTTTCCAGCTATCAACTTTCAACTTTTAAAAATAGAGTTACTCTCAGCAGATTTGGCAAATTCTTTTTTGATTCTTTCTCTACCAAGTCAATTTTCGAAATTTGGGAGCAGCTGATCTGGGTTGTTGGTTGACCATGTTGACCTTTTGAATAATGTATCAATTTGTGAATGTTGCATTGAGCCTGTCTATAGCCTTCAAAGCTTATGCGGGTGAATGGAATTATCAGGTTTACAAAAGCTTATAAACGACAAGCAGTTCTTCTCTCAAACTTCATCGATATCCTGCATTGCTGACACTTATCAATTGTTGGATATCTAATCTTGATGTCTTGTAGTGGTCATTATAACTGAGAAATAGGTTAGACACTGGTACGTTGTGTGTAACACAATTTCCCAATCATAAAGCGTCATCCAATTTCTTTTTCAGGCGAGTTGAGACGCATGTACACATTGACACCAATTGCTGTGATTGGAGGCTCTTTTTCCCCTGGTTTAGCTGGTCATAATATATCTGAAGCTGCTGCTGCTGGCTGTGCTGTTTTGACAGGTGACTGTCATACTCTTTATGGTTTTCAACACGCTGTTTGAGACGCTGAAATTCATTATTATTGGTATTAGGCTGCCACATCGGGCATTTCTCCCACATGGTGCAGGAAATGCAACGACTGAATCCGTTGTCTGTGCTTCAGGTTGGAATTCGTTTCTCTTGCTTATAGTAGAAAACTTTCCTGGCCATGAATTATTCTAATCTTTTTTCTGGAGCCGGTCTATTCATTGTCACTCCTTGCAGGTTTCTGGAAAACTGGAGCTTGAAAAGGCTCTCCTTGAGCTATTCACAGACGAAGCAGTTTTGGAAGCACGACGTAGGGCTGCAAAAGAGGCATTTACTCATTTGTCCTGCGATGTTCTTGCTAGAATCTGGAGTTCGTTAGAATTTCATATCTTCAGCAGGCTGTCCGCAGCGGGCATCGAGATTCATGCAAAGACACGACAACAATGAATGTGAAAATGAAATTTGACCAATTAAAAGGGACTTCTGATCTTCCGAAGATTGAAGATGCCACAAACATTCGGGATAACATTTATTTCTTCCTGATGCGTAGGCAATCAAACTAATGCAACTGTATATCGTGCGCGCGCGTGTCTGTATTCATGGAGGATTTGTGTGTAGTATACCCGCTTAAGTAGGGTTTTAGTCAACAGGACTGGCCCGTGTAGGATTCTTTCACCATTGCTCCGTGAAAAGTTGGAAACCAGGGGTTTGATGTAATCCTCGAATGTTATCAACGGAGGGTTTCTAAACTATCTTAATTGTCAGAAAAAATATAACTTTTAATTTTTATATTTTACTTGTATTTTATTATAAATTTTTATATTTTTTTCAGTATTTTTACAGTTTTTAAGAATTTAAAATATTAAAAAAATATAGAGATTTATAATAAGATATAAATAAAATATAGAGATTAAAAGTGATGTATTTTCGGATTATTATCATCTGAACCACCTTGCTGTCAATTCCTCACCGTAGAAGGTAGCCTGTTTTTGGGGTGAATCGCCAAAGCATTGCTCCCACATGACTGTAGGAGATAAGCCTTGAGTCATTTCAATATAAATTCTTTAAAAAAAAAAAAAATCTCGATCTTTAACTTTTAATTTTCAATCTTTTAATTATGAATTATTATTATTTGATATTAATTGAAATCTCACATGGAAGATATTTTAAAATAAGGTATGAATATTTTTTTATTCATTTTATTTAATAAGAATTTTTTTAATTTAAAAATAAGAATTAAATTATAAACAAGTTAAAAGTTAATAAATTTAATTATAACAGGTCATAATTTAAGAATTGAGTTACAGTGAGTCATAATTAAAAAATTATGTTATAAATGAGTTAAAAGTTAGAGAATTAAAAAATTATTTTTTTTAAATTAATATGTGAAACTTGGGGTGAATAATTAATCTAACCCATGAGTAATTTGGGCTCTGCCTCTAAACATGGTCGATGCCCCTTGGGTGGAGACATTCCTCAATCACTAAACTACATCTATATTATGTATACATATATACATATGCGCGAGCGCGCGCGCGAAAGGCAATGCAATTTCCTCTGCATTTGGATCTCACTGATCATAATGTTTCCTTTTGTCTTTTGGGAATTGCTTTCCCATTTCTGGTGTTTATTTTTTCCCCTATCCATGCTCATTGCTCAAGCAAGCGTCAGTTCATTCCACAAATTAGTGCATGTGTGTGTCAAATTTCACAGCAGCCTTTGTAATTTTACACACTGACACTGTTGTCTCTCTCCGACGAGTCTTATCTTGTCGCAGACAAGAAGTTCTTGTCTTGGATAACACACATGGTTTGTTTTGTCTCCGATATTCATGGTCGGAACCCGAAATATGAAGCTAATGACCAAAGAATTCTTCAACCGAGGCTCCTATTTATTCAGAAAGTACCTAAACGACTTGAGCCCTTGTTCTCTGCTCCATTTCCCAATGATCAACACAGGGGGAATATGTTTGATTCCACAGCACTTCCTTCCTTTTTTTCGTGTTTTGCTGACTCGGATTGATAAGGATTTCACATTTAGAACGCCAATCTCGCCTTCAATCTCTGCTTCTTTGTTATTTCTTTATCGGTGAAAAAGCAGAGTCGAATTGAACTGGAACAACAACTAACAAAATAAAAGAAAAAGTAAAAAGCTGAAACATTTCCCTCACTTTTTGCGACAGGATTGCATTGCCATATTGGTGAAACTTCAAAGCTGAGAATTCAAATGTTTTACCACATTGGTTGCCCCACCCATGTGCCATTTATCTATCCTCCGTGTTTTCCCAAAAACCCATAATTACAGAACAGGAACAGGGAAAGAAAAGCTTGAATAAGTTTTAATACTCGAATAATGTTCTGTCCACGTATAGCATTTCCCTTGAAGGAGTAAATAGTAAGGAAAAGAAGCAGAAAATGGAAAGAAAACGAGCTCTTCATTGGTCACTTGGGTAGCTCTGGACGATTCTGAATATTTTACCATTTCTGCTTTGAATTTGTTGGTGCATCCACGTAATTGAAGTTTGAATTTGAATTTTAGTCGCGACCTTGAATTTGCAAGTCTATTATTGAATGCCATTACTTTAGCTTGGTGCGAGAATAACTTTGCTGCTTCGTGACCTAAAGTAGAGACCTCTTTTTTCTTCTCCGACATGGAAAGGAGAAGTAGCAGCTGAGCTGACATATCAAATAATGAGATGAGCCACTCACTTTAGGCCATAGCCTCAAAAAGTTTGTCCACCCAAAATAATTAACCAGCTTCTTCTTTGGGTTAAACTTAGGAGTTATGAGCAGTGAAAGTAGCACAAACAAATTGCATAATATGCAGTCATAGCCTCAGTGGTTCACAGCTCAACGCAGAGCAGGATCTTTATTCAAAAGCGGTCTCTTCATTATTTTTTTTTCCAACTTTTGGTGAAAATGGACCATTGACTTTCAAGTGTTTCCTCGCCCACCAAAAAAATTCAAAAAAGGGGGGGGGGTGTGAATGCCCGGGACGAAATCAATAAGCAGAGCCACATGTATCATTACACTGATAGAAATTAGAATGACTAGATTGCCCAGAAAATAAAATATTCTGAGGAAGAGCAACCATATTATTAACCTATTAATATTAATTGACCAATCGAGTGAGCGCAATCGAAAGAAAAGTAAAAGCAAACAGAGCGAATGAATTACCAGCAATTATTTAGGATGGATTGAAATACGCGATCATCAGCCTTTCTTGTTCAGTAATCAGTACAATATTAGTAAGGGAATTCAACCTTTAGAAAAGGGTAAAGAAAAGGGTAAAATTATCATGTTTATCTTCATTGAAATCTTATCAAATGCCTTCATTGTAAGCATATGCAGGACTGTGTTGTTAGATGGTAGATACCCACTACGCACATTCACATTCTATGGATAGGAAAGTCGCGACAGTGAGCCGATCATTCTTTGCTCAAGAGAAGATACTAATGAAGTAGAGTGCTAAAGTAGACAGTGGACAGCCAGAACCTAAATTTCTAAAATCAAACAAGGTTATCACTCATTTATTGATCTAGTTCTTGTTATTTCATCTACTCTCAGCACAGTATCCTTCATTCCGTCGTTTAATCTATTTCCCTATATCACAAAAGATCAGGTTAATGACGGGGAGTTAAATTATATTATATCATTGGTAAGATAATAAAGGAGCAAAGAAGCAGAGCAGAGCACAAGAATCAAGAAGTATAACCATATTTCCCTGTTACAGAATAGGCAAAAACGAAAGGAAAAGCGAATCGCTTGGTCCATATTCTACATCTAACGAAGGAGTGCATAACAGCAATCATTCACACGACCATCGCTAATCCCAAAACCACTGCGACCCACGTTCCTAATCCCAAAACCACTGCGACCCCTTTAATCATGATATTCCTTCTCACCTAACTCAAAAATTCTTCTATTTTGTGTTTTGATTTACAGGACACAGGAAGGGTATGAGAATCTCCTTCCCTTTCTTTTAGTTTTAAAACACTGTCATTATTTCCTCGTCTTCCCGCCGGAGCACGCACGCTAAGCTCTGCTCTCTTCATAACATGAACAAGGCTTATCCTCTAAGCATTGCATTGGCCTTGGCCTTCACATTAGTTTGCTGTGTCACACAATCTCTGGGTTTAACCCAAAATGACACCCACGCTCTCACCCAATTCCGCTTCCAGGCTGATGCCCATGGCTATCTTCTCGCCAACTGGACCGGCGCCGACGCCTGCGCTGCTTTCTGGCGCGGCATTCAGTGTTCCCCTAAAGGCCATGTCGTCGGCGTCTCGCTTCCTTCTCTTAATCTCCGAGGCCCTGTTGATTCTCTGTCTTCGTTAGGCTACTTGCGCCTCCTTGACCTCCATGATAATCGCTTAAATGGCAGCGTTGCGCCTCTCTCTAACTGCACGAGTCTTGAACTTCTTTATCTCTCCGGGAATGACTTCTCCGGCGGGATACCGGCGGAGATAGCGTCGCTCACGCGTCTACTCAGGCTTGACCTCTCTGACAACAACATCCGAGGTCCCATTCCTAAGGAACTGTCCAAATTGACCGCGCTTCTCACGCTCAGGCTACAGAATAATGAGCTCTCTGGGAAAATCCCTGATTTTTCTGCCTCTCTGCTCAAACTCAAGGAGCTCAACATGACCAACAACGAGTTTTATGGAAGCTTACCTGATGGAATGTTGAAGAAATTCGGCGACGTAAGTTTCTCTGGGAATAAAGGCTTATGTGGATCAAGCCCATTGCCGGTATGTTCCGCCACAACAGAGAATCTGCCATCTTCTTCAGCATCGGCTCCGACAGTTCCTTCTAAGCCAACCCCGTTTCCCCAAACAAGCGCAACTCCTCCTCCCAAAAACCAACCCCGAAAGGGGTTAAGCACCGGAGCTATCGTAGCCATTGTGGTGGCGAATTGTGTGGCATTGCTGGTATTGACCTCTTTCATCGTTGCCCATTGCTGCGCCAGAGGACGAACCTCCGATTCTGTGGTTGGCAGTGAGATTGGGAAGAGGAAAAGCGGGAGTAGCTATGGAAGCGAGAAGAAGGTTTACGCGAGTGGGTGTGTAGACAGTGATGGAACTAGCGGGACAGACCAAAGCAGGCTTGTATTCTTTGACAGAAGGAGTCAATTCGAGCTGGAAGATCTGCTCCGAGCATCGGCGGAGATGCTGGGAAAAGGAAGCTTGGGCACAGTGTACAAGGCAGTGCTCGACGATGGGTGTACCGTGGCCGTGAAGAGACTCAAAGATGCCAACCCATGCTCTCGGAAGGAGTTCGAGCAGTACATGGATGTGATTGGAAAGCTCAAGCACCCCAATATCGTGAGACTCAGAGCCTATTACTATGCCCGAGAAGAAAAGCTCCTCGTCTATGATTATCTTCCCAACGGAAGCTTGCATTCTCTTCTTCACGGTTAGTCTCGGTCTTTCTGATTCCAGATACAATTTCTTGAGTTCATATAATCTAACCTGATCATCCCTTTGATATATAGGGAACCGTGGTCCTGGAAGAATCCCATTGGATTGGACGACAAGAATAAGCTTGGTTTTAGGGGCAGCCAGAGGACTCGCTCGGATTCATGCTGAATACAGTGCAGCAAAAATACCTCACGGCAACATCAAATCTTCCAATGTTGTACTCGACAGGAATGGCGTTGCTTGCATCTCTGACTTTGGCCTGTCTCTGCTTCTGAACCCTGTCCATGCAATCGCAAGATTGGGTGGATACAGATCTCCCGAGCAAGAAGAAAGCAAGAAGCTGTCTCAGCAGGCAGACGTGTACAGCTTTGGCGTCTTGCTGTTGGAAGTTCTGACTGGGAAAACCCCGTCCCAGGAGCCTTCACCGACACGTCCTAGGTTGGTTGAAGATGCACAAACCGTGGATCTCCCCAAATGGGTTCGATCTGTAGTGAAGGAAGAATGGACAGCGGAAGTGTTCGATCAAGAACTGTTGAGGTACAAGAACATTGAGGAAGAGCTCGTGTCCATGCTACACGTGGGTTTGTCGTGTGTGGTGACGGAGGCAGAGAAGAGGCCAACCATGGCGGAAGTTGTTAAGTTGATTGAGGACATCAGGGTGGAGCAATCTCCTCTAGGCGAAGACTATGATGAGTCTCGCAATTCGCTTTCACCTTCCCTTCCGACCACTGAAGATGGACTAGCTTAAGACTGTTCACTGCCAGGTATTTGATGCATTGTCTCATTGCACTTTGGCTAGTTGTTAGCAATATCATATGTATCAACATGGTTAGCTATTCATATTCTGTTATTTCATGTGTTTTTTTTGTGAAATTTCCCAAGATCTGTGAAACTTTCCTTGTTGCACCGAGGACGAATCTGACGATATTGTGGTGGAGCTTAGAATAAGCGTTGTATTTGTGTCAGTGCTGGGCCGTGAGACGCAACGGTCTAGAATTTTAATTGCCCTAGAGCACCAAATCTTGCGTTGAATTGCGGTAACAAGAGCCAGTAAGATTAAATATTTATTTTTGAAAGCTAATTATGCGTTTAATTTCTTATTAGAAGATCAAGACCCGTGCCATGAATTCAAACTTGTTAGCTGCAAGAATTGAATCATTTGATCAGAAGAGGAGCTTTTCTTGACTATTGGAGTCCGAATTTCGGAATCACCATTTAAAAAAATATATTACTATTTTCCTGAATGTTCAAGAGTAATGTGAAAGTGAGTCTTTGATATATTACTTTATGTGATTTGACTATAAATATTTTTAAAACAAGAAATTTTTGGGCGTAATGGAGGCATTTAGAATCCAGAAACTTCTGAGCCCCCATTTCAACGTAGGAATAAATCCTCGCAACGAAGTTAAATCTGTGTTGAATTGCTTGTCTGCATCAATTACTAGTGCCTTACTCTTACAATTAACCCGAAAATAACAAGTGTGCATTTTTAAAGGGCAAAAAATTACCCTTCAACTAATTTTCAAAAAATCCCAATTTTCCACCACTAGATGCCATGCTTGATCAACCTATCAAGCTTGTGATGTCTGTGTCTCTTCTACAGGAAGCCGGTTCCAAAGTCGTAGATGATGTTGAATTTTAGCTCCGTTGGCTCATTGCTTTGGTTTGGTCAACCAGTTTTGTTGTTTTTCAGTACTTTTTCGCACGATGCTATTGAGAGATGTTCCAACTTCCAACGTGAAAACTGAAAAACCGCTTCTGTGAATGAAAAAGAAAAAAAAAAGAAAATTAACAATATTTTATTGGCTGTAGTGCCAGTGCTTATTCAAAGTCGCATTAATGGCAACATGAAAATCGGAAAAACATGCGAAACACGATGAATTTTAGAATAATTCTAATATTCTAATATTTTAAGGTCTGAGTTGAAGAATAACAAAGTTTTTGTTGATGCGAAAACTAGGGTCAACTTTTGGCCCCGAGTGAAAAGGGGACAGATCAATCCACATTCGAGTGGTCCCTTCCCGTCTTAATCTTCTTGTCCCCCCGATTTGATGAAGTATTCTCATCCATTGGTTTATTTATGAAGACTCGACAAAAAGAGAGTATTGTTTCATGCAACAAATCGGATGCCAAAAATCAACTTATAGTACTCCCTCCATTTTTATTTGAAAAAAAAATTATTATTTTTTATTTTTTTATATAAATAAAATCATATATTTCAATAAGCATTTATTATAATTTTTCAAATTACTCCTCATATTTTACATTGATAAAAAAATAATTAATATATATTTATATTGATTAATATAAAGTATTTAGTCTAATTTTTTTATTTTTAAATATAATTATGATAGTTAATTAACGTTATAATTATTTTATTCTGTAACAGGAGTATATTTTTTGAGTCCAATCTCGTTAATGTTGACATCAAAAATAAGACAAGATCAGGTAAGCTCCCATCCATCAGGCCTGAAAAATGACCGCAAACGTTCATAATTTTGGCCTCGTAGCTTATCATTTCTACTATTATTATATAATGCAGTGGCACCTCAAAATATCAAATATGAAATTTATAAACATTTTAATTACTCTTGGATTTCATGAATCACGTTAATACAACACCAAAAAGAAAAAAGACGGGGCACATATACAACTCAATAATTTATACATATTTTTTTATATTTATTATAAAACACCTCTAATCATTTTATTAAACTAAAGAATATCAGTTAGGTTATCAATTTTGTGTAGAAATTTTTTTTAAAATTTTATTTATATTTAAATGAAAAATTGAAAGGACCTTTGAGATTGCCAGGAGCCAAACCATCAACGACGGCCCATTGAAATTGACCTGGAAGTAGGCTGCGCCTGAAGCCCACGTGGCTGACCAGGGAGCAAGAGGGACCCACCCTCCTGGCATTTTTCCCCATCCCGTGCCACGCGTCACCTTCTGCGTGCGTCACGCCTCCACGCCAGACCAAGCTCCGTCCCATCATCACACCCAATAAATAGTTGCACGGTGCCGTACTACCGCAAAACGACCGCGGCTGATGGGGTCACTCCAACCTTCCACGTCCCTGTTCCCGAGGGATTGACCTTAAAAAACGATAAAACATAGATTTGGTTTCATCGGTGGATTATTATGTGCTTCAATTATAATGACATCATAAATGCTGCATAATTTAACTTAAAAATTATATTTTTTTATTTATGAAAATTATAGTATTGTTAACAAATCTCAGATTGAGATATAAATAATGTTTTTCTTTTATAATCTTAAAAAGTGGGGGTGATAGATAATGGCAAACTGAAAACTATCATGAGGATTGTTCTTTGTTGAGAACAAAAAGAATTGCGGAAAACAACAATGATCTAAGCAACCTGACAAGGTTAGGACCCCATTTAGGTTTTCCAAAAGTGTGGCAATGAAGAGTTCGAGTTCTCCATGGCTATTTATTTTAATAAAATGATATCAAGGAATTAGTTTAGTTTCCTTATAATAATTAATAATATGCGTCCCATAAATGTGGTGATTAAAAAAATGGCTAAATGGAAAGCCAAGTGGGGAAGAAACATAAAGAGCGTAGGCATATTCTTCGCTTTTGATGTTTGAAGCCCTTCTTCTAAGCGAACTCCCTTCTTTCTGATCTTCATTCTCTTTCTCTTCCACAGGAGTTGCTTCTGCCTCCAAGCCATCGATAAGCGACCATGCATTCTACCAACTTGCTTCTTGAAGAACCTATTAGGATGGTCTCTATTATAGAGCCATCCAAGCCTGTGAGTTTCTTTGTTATTTTCTCGTCTTTTTCTCTTTTTTTCGTTGTGATATGTGGCACTTTGAATGTCTGTCAAGATTGATCCATGGCGTGCTGTTGGGGGGCCTTTTCTTTTCTTTTCATTTTTCTGTTGGATTTGAGCTTTGATTCATATTTCATCTTCTTCCTAAATTTGTCGTTCTTTTCGAACCTTTTCAGAGTTTCTTTCCTGCAATGACAAAAATCGTTGGTACACTGGGTCCCAAATCTCGATCTGTCGAGGTTATTTCTAGTTGCCTCAAGGCTGGAATGTCTGGTATGAGATTACGCTACCTTTTGGTATCCTCTGGTGCTTTCCAATTCTGTTTCAACTCGTGACCTATGATAGTCATTTCTTCGTAAACTCGTGGCCTCCCGCCTGGTAGATGACTAGCATTTTGTTATTTTTGCTATAACATCAATGGGGAGGCTTTACATGGATTGTTTATTGTTTCTTGCAGTGGCTCGTTTCGACTTCTCCTGGGGTGATGTGGAGTATCACCAGGAGACCTTGGGGAATTTGAAGACCGCTATCAAGAGTACTAACAAGCTCTGTGCTGTGAGTTTTCTACTATGCTTTCCTGATGCGTTGGTTAAAATGAAAGCAGAAAGTCGCTGCCTAGACGGTCGTGACAATCCATTATTAATTTTTACGTTGAGTGCCTGAGCAATTTCAAATTATGCTCCACCCATTTCTGCAATTGTGTTTTTCCATTTCTCTTAGATTCTTATTCATGTACGGGATGCGTTAGTGTTTGTTATTCTATGTCTTTGTCAGGTTATGTTGGATACGGTGGGTGCAGAGATGCAAGTTGTTAACAGAAGTGGGACATCTATATCCCTTCAGGCAGATGGTCTTGTTGTCCTTACTCCGGACAAGGGGCAAGAAGCCTCGTCAGAAATATTGCCTATCAATTTTGATGGACTAGCAAAGGTTCATTGTTATTCTCTGCCTTCCGTCCTCATGCCAAGTTATTATATGGGGTGTATGCCTGGAGTCGATCGTGTCAATTATTATTATAACTCAACTTTTTGAATGTCTATGTTGATTTGAACTCAATATTCAATGTTTGTTCTTTTTTTCAGTCAGTGAAGAAGGGAGATACTATTTTTGTTGGTCAATACTTGTTCACTGGCAGTGAAACTACTTCTGTATGGCTAGAGGTAACTTGAAAAAACATAGCAGTGAGTCTTTATTGCTGGAGCTCTCCATTTTATCTTGCCTTAAATAATCTGCTTTGATTTTTTTCACTTGAGTTACCAGTGCGTGCATCAATTTTTTCATGTGGGACTATACTGGGATACTGTGTTATTAAAGTAGCAATTTTGTTAATTGTAGTTCTCAAAAAAATTATTTTTAATAATTTGATCTCAAAGGTCTTGTGCATAAATAGGAAGTGTTGAGGTTTTCCATGTATGATAAGTTTTATCATAATTTGTGCAGGTTACTGAAGTCAGAGGCTCAGATGTTGTCTGTGTAATAAAAAACTCAGCAACATTAGCTGGTGCATTGTTCACTTTGCATGCCTCTCAAATTCATATTGATTTGCCCACACTTACTGAAAAAGACAAGGAGGTAGTTTCTGTCCAAAACGTGCTCGTTTAATTGATCTGCCTATTATTCCACAAACTTTTCAGTATTTGTGTGGATATTGTTTGTTCATGTTAGAGCATGAGGCTTTTATTATTACTATTATTTTAATTTTTTTGCAGGTTATAAGCACCTGGGGTGTGAAAAATAAAATAGATTTTTTGTCATTGTCATACACCCGACATGCAGAAGATGTTCGTGAGGTAAGTTTCATGGGCATCACTTGGTTTGAATCACCTCAAATTCATAATTGCTAATTTAACTTCAAGCTTCTATTGCTGTTTCAGCTTTATTATTAACATGCCTTCATATTTTTGTAATGCAGACTCGGGAATTCCTTTCCAAATTAGGTGATCTCAACCAGACTCAAATTTTTGCAAAGATTGAAAATGTTGAGGTTAGCAGCTTACTTTCATAGTGTACTGGACAATTTTCATCTCTTCAGAAGATAGATTCCTGTTGGCAGTGCTGCCTCAAATTTTGTGTTTACATCTGTTCCCCCACCAGGGATTGAACCATTTTGATGAGATCCTACAAGAAGCTGATGGAATTATCCTTTCCCGTGGGAATTTGGGCATAGATCTGCCACCTGAGAAGGCAAGTTTCCTTGTTGAAATCCGTGTCCACAGTTTGAATTTCTTGAATTGTGTTTTGTTGTGTCTTTGTCTTGATTTCTTGGATTTGATTCTTATGGCATATTATAATGTACTTTATACTTTCTTATGCATGGTGATGATTGGTATTCCTTGAGTAATTTGAAACAATTTATATATAGCACGCATTGAGTGTTGTTGCATGCTTTTGGAATGAAATGGGACTCTTTTTGTTTGAACTGTACATGCCCAATGAAATTAACTTCTCTCGGGTAACATGACATATGCTTGTGACTCTTTGCATTTAGTGAATTTTAGATTGTTTCAGACTGAATGTTGAAGAAATGTTAACTATATGCTGTAAGGCTTTTGCAGGTATTTTTATTTCAAAAATCTGCTCTTTACAAATGTAATATGGCTGGAAAACCTGCTGTCCTTACGCGTGTTGTGGATAGCATGACCAGCAACTTAAGACCAACTCGTGCAGAAGCCACTGATGTTGCCAATGCTGTTTTGGATGGTAAGTCTCTTGATTTATGATTTCTCGTTAGGTGAGTGCTTAAAATGCTGTCATGTCTACATTAGCTTGCATGTTTTCCAGTGAACTTTTACGTGTGTGATTATCTGATAAAACAACAACAACAATAAGCCTTATCCTACTAGGTGGGTTTGGCTACATAGATTGTATAACGTCATGCGCTTTATTATTTATCAAGCTTTTAAAAATGTTGTTAACTAATAGAGAGAAAATATTTCTCTTCAAATTGTAGATTTAGGTTCTATAATATTTTGTTTCTCCTTCGTATCCAGTGTGCCTTGGGCTGCTCTGCTGTATTAATTTGCTTGATAATAACTAACCTTTTTGGGTTATCAAAGACATGGAAAATTTATCTTGATACTGATATTGAGCATTTAAGTCTTCGATTATTTTGTTTTTCTTTTGTTACTTTCTGTCCAATGCAACCTAGTTAGAACTCAGATGCCTTTAAGCTGGATATGTTTGCTGAGCTGCTATGAGTAAATACAGGAAGTGACGCAATTCTTCTTGGTGCTGAGACCCTACGTGGGAATTACCCTGTCGAGACTATTTCTACTGTTGGCCGAATTTGTGCAGAGGTAAATCCTATTTTTTACTAAATTATATTCAGTACTTAAGATGCTGATGTGATTAATTTAAATTTCTCTGGACATTCCTGAAAAACTTTCTCGTTAAATGTTGAGCTATGGCTTGAGTTCCTAATGATTTGGCATTGATCAATGATTTTTGTAGTTTTATGATTTTTTTTTTTTATTTTGCTGAGTTAGCCTTTTGGTTTGTGCACGCACCTTTGAGTTTGTTCGTGATAGATGTCTTAGCTGCTGTAGTGTGGCCATCCATAGTCATCACTTAATGTTTTCCTGTTTGGCTCAGATATGGTTTTTCTAACAACCAATGCAAATTTATGTTTATTTTTATGTTCCACTCTGATTATTAAGCCATTGTGTTGGAACTTCTTGAGAATGTGCACCGTGATGCAAACATAACATGGGAGGTAGTTGAACAGGGAGCCGTGACTTTATGTATTCAATTTGTTCTAGAAAACAAGAATCAAGATATACCTAGATAAGATGTTAGGTTCCAAGATTTTTGGCCCTTATACCTACATTGTTCAATTTTTTCTTTTATCTTGGACGTGTACTTCTTTTTTATTCTTTAGCCCCCCAAAAACAAATTATTGGACTGAAGGACTGGCTCTGGCTATCAATGTGGCATCGGTTCTGTGAATCATTTGTGAGGAACTCCTTGGATTAATGTGTGTCTCTGCATGTGAGTTAATATTCATTGTTTTTTCTCCCGCAGGCCGAGAAAGTTTTCAACCAAGACCTCTATTTTAAGAAGACGGTCAAATATGTTGGAGAACCAATGACCCACTTGGAATCTATCGCATCCTCTTCGGTATTTATACTTTAATTTTGTATCACAATAGCAGATTCTGGCTCATCTCTCTCCCTGGTATTACTTTATACTTGTGTCATTAACAGAAGGAGGCCTCTTTTATTTGTTCTTCTTTTGTTAGGTACGGGCGGCTATTAAGGTGAGGGCTTCTGTTATTATTTGCTTCACTACAACTGGAAGGGCTGCAAGGTACCTCATCTATGAGTAGCAGAAGAGTTTAAATATTTTAATTCATGGAAATTTGAAATAGCTAACTTGTCTCAAATTTAGTTAAATTCAGGAATTTTATAGTGGCTTATGTTGGTATCCATGAGCAAGTTTTATTTTCATCCCCTTCATTTATCACATCATCTCGAAGGCTTTCTTTCTGAACGTGCAACATTTCCTCATCAGATTAATAGCAAAGTATAGGCCTCCCATGCCTGTTCTCTCTGTTGTGATCCCTCAAATTAAGACAGATCAGCTAAAGTGGAGCTTTACTGGAGCCTTTGAGGTTCGATCTTGATTTTTGATTCATCTATAGCTTGATTTCTGTTAGCTATCTGTATATGTGGCTGAGCCCGGTCCCCCAACTTTTTTTAATGGTTGGAATTTACTGATTTTCAGGCTTAAATATGGTGAGAAAATTTCTGATAATTATTGCATTCTTATCTATCTTCACTTGTCTGTTTAAATTTATGTTTGGACTTTGATCGAATATATGACTGTTCTTCTGAAGAATGATTATTAATAATTTTGATAGCTGATTATTACTTCTTAAAGAAACATTTCAGTGCCTTATATTGTTAAACAAGGACTATTTAATCTTTTTTCCCCCTTTTTCCTTGTCCAGGAACAACTGTCAACTGATATGTGGGAAAGCTTATTTTCGTCTAATGTAATTAGTATACTACTCTTTACTAAATATTGCGTGTATGGAATCATTAGAATACCTCATTGCAGCTTAATTTTGCTTTCACATATTCTCAGCCTTTAGCCTTTTACTCATCCTTTATACTTGTATAAAAGCACATGTGGTCAGTATTTATGCTGTACATTGGAAGATGATGCTTCACTGGCTTGGTTGTGGTTCCGCTCATTATTACCATGAAGTATAATTTGCTCACATTTGTGTGGGAACATCTCCAAATTTGTAAAGAAGTTCTATTTCTATGTCACAGGCAAGACAATCGCTTATAGTGAGAGCTCTCTTTCCTTTGCTTGCTGATCCACGACACCCTGTAAGTTACTGTTTGCTGTTTTTCTAGTTTTCCGCATCTAGTTTATCTTACCGTGGAGGAGGCAAAGTCTTTGAATCTAGATGTAGGCACAGAGATGCTGGACTTAGAGCTGTGTGCATACTAACAGTTCTGCTTCAATACATTGTCAGAAGTTAGATCCGTAGAATTCCCTTGTCCTCGAGGGAGATGTAGAGAATACCATAGTTTTGATCTGTGAAACTCTGATTATGACCACCAACATTGATTAGCTGTTCCCATGATTCATCTTTTGGCTACGTTTTCTGAACTTAACCTTCATTATAGAGATCTGTATGCACAGTAATAACAAATATTAATTTACTGTGTTATTGTCCCGGCCTCCCGGGTATATTACTGTTTAGCACCATAGTTGTCAGCATGAATGAGCAGTGAGGAAGGAGTGGGACCCGCTTGCTTGATGAGCATGTCTCTGTCATTCTCACATGTTCCATGGTATGCGTAATGACTAGAATTTGATGTCATAAGTGTGTGCATGCAGGCGGAGTCAACAGGAGCATCGAATGAGTCAATCCTGAAGGTTGCCCTTGATCATGGAAAAGCGTCAGGGGTTATAAAGGCACACGACCGAGTTGTTGTCTGCCAAAAAGTTGGTGACACATCCGTCGTTAAGATTATTGAGCTTGAAGATTAAGACACATACCTCCAACTCGACAGTTTAGGCTTCTTTTTGGTCATTCCTAAAGTATTTGAAAGCAGCTGATCATTCTGCTTCCACTTTTTGAGGTTATAATCTTGACATCTCCACTGGGTTTGGTGGCTAGTTGCATTTTTTCCCGGTTCATTGGACATTAACGCTGAGGCAAGAAGGCAACTATCATTGGCTGTCAAATAGAAAATCAGAGGAACGTGGGCTTGTTGCTTATTCTTAGTTAATTGTCATACAGCATATTTTGGAAGTAATATTATTCGATATGATTTTGACTAACGATTCTCAAATGGTTATTGCTCAAAAGCTTCTATTCTTTTTTGCTCAATGTGGTGGCTCTTATATATTTTAGTTTTTTGGAACATGAAGGAGCCAAGGAGACATTACATGTGCAGCATCCTAGGAAACATGACACCTACATAGCCCTCCATTAGCAACTGTAGGCGCTGGTGATTATTGAGTAATACTCCCTCCCCTCCTTGATATAAGGGCTAGTTGAGAAATTTGTAAAACCCCAATCTTTTTTGTCTTTATTTTTTTCTTTTCAAATTATCCCTATCGATTGAACGCATGCCCTTAATTGGGATAATTTTCAATTTGAATGATTAAAGTGGGGTATTGAGAGAAACTAATATATTTCTATAACTAATTCATCTAAATTTTTGTGAATTAATCAATTAATTTCAATGTTTACTTTTAAATATTCTTTTAATTCTATTTATAATTAATTTTAATATGTTTTACCTGTGTCAAGGAAAATTTTAAAATTTATTAATTTTTTTAAAATTTAATAAGTTTTTAATTTAATCCTTATTAAATATGTATATTTTACTGATATTTTTTTTAGTATTCAATGAAGAGTAAAAAAAAGTTACATTAAAAATTTAATGATATAATTTATAAATAAAATTAAAATTTTTCTTTCTGTATTTTATAAATAAAATGAGAGAAGTATAAAAGAATAGTTAAAACTGTAGTAGCAGGGTCGTTGACACGAGCACCAGGGGCCGTTCCTAGTGAGCTTGCCTTCAATCCTCCTGCATCCAAGCACGTTGCGGGCTGCTTTTTCATTTTACATGTGTTGGGATGCTGGCCTCTTATTGACAACACTAGTGACATATTTTGTCAATGCTAAATTAATTATATTACCCATAATGCAATTTTTGTTAGTAATTCGATTACAAATTATGTAATTATCTTGTGGATAAAATTTTACCCCCTCCCGCTCAAAATTTTAAGACATTTTTTAAGAGATGCTATGTTTAAAAATATAAGATATTTTGGTATTTTTATGAGTAATTAATGAGATTTTTAAAAATACCCTTAATAAATATTGAAATTAATGAAATTTTTGTATTTATTTGTGATTAAATTACTCTATTAAATAAGGGTTAACAAAGAAGGAGTGAATAATTTTTAGTAATATTGACTATGTTCAGTTAGTTAAAAATGAGTCAAGTAGGAGTACAGTTTTAAACCGAGGGAGGGGAATGATTTAGGCGCATAACATGTGGGAATGTGATAACCACAAACTCGTTATTTGTAATTTAATAAGGAAACGACGGGAGAGAACGGTTCAAAGACTGAGAAAACAGGAGCCGGTTTGCGATTCAAGCTGGGAGGTTGGTGGAGATTGGAGAAGCGAGCTTAGTCAAAGCTTTTAGTTTGATCCTCAATTCCTGGCTGAGTCCTAACTCCTAAGCACCGCATTAATATCTGGCCTTGCCACACAAACCTACGCCTAACGTATTTGTTTGGATTTTAATTAAGTATAATTAATTATAAAAAAAATTAATTAATATGATTGATGTTAAATAAAATTGATTATGTTAGGATGTATATCATTAATTTACAAGATTGATCTTAATCAGAATTGAAAAGTAGAATTGAGAATTAAGTAAAACTATGATTTTGCGTGTTACATGTTAAAATTAATTATGAATTTAAAATTATGTTTTTTTAAAAATATCCAAACATTCATTATACATGTCAAAATTAATTATAAACTTAAAATTATGATTTTTTTTAATATCGAAACACCCTCATACTTGTCAAAATCATCAATTAAGAATACAAAATCACGTTTATCATGTAAGCTATTATTACCTATTTTTCAATTCATGTTTTCAATTATAAGAATTTTAGAATTTATCCAAAAATTATATAAATTATTTTACAAATCATATTTTTAGATCTATAATTGATTTTGACATATACAGAAGTGTTCAGATATTATAAAGAAAATATGGTTTTGGGTTCAAAATTAATTTTGACATGTATAATAAGTGTTTGCATATTTTTTGAAAAATGTAATTTTAGGTACATAATTAATTTTAACGTGTAATAGAAGTGTTTGGATATATTTTTACAAAACTATAGTTTTAACTTTTAAAATTGATTAAAGGTATTATCCAAACATGCACTTCGTGCCTGTTACTGAATCAGTTACAATGTCCAAAATCATGATTTTAAAATAAGTCATCTAAATATTTTCAGTTTTCTCAAATTTCATTTGATTCATGAAATTATATTTTGCCAAGTAGCCAACCAAACTCTCCCAATTTTTTCAAATTCCATTTAGTTCCTAAAACTCCATTTTATAATAACTAATTTTATCTCCATTTGATAAATGAATTTCGCAAAATCAATTCTTAAAAAAATTATCCAAACACCACCACAGTTTGTTAGTTAATTTTTTTCAATCGAAATCCGAATACATCCTACATACAGAAAGCTACCAAGATTTTGACATGGTTTTAAACATTATTATTATTAGTTACGTTATAAATAATGTAATTCATTCGTAAGATTTCATATAATACCTCGCAGGTGTTCATTTGTTATTAAATTTTATGAGTTTATTATTAATTATTCTTAAAAATTAAAATTTATAATTTAAAACATGATACTTTCTCCATCCCAAATTATAAAACATTTTGAAGAAGTTTCTCCATTTTAAATTATAAATCACTTTGAGTATATTAAGGTTTCATTAAATGTATTAATTTTAATATTATCCTTTTTTTTTATAATTAATTCTCGTCCCTTATCTTTTTAATATATTAAATGATGAGTATTTTTAAAAGTTTATTATTTTAAAAAGATAAGGTTGTTAAATGTATTTAATGAAGTTTATTAGTATGTGAGATTTTGTCTAAAAGTATTTTATAATTTGGGACGGAGAAAGTAATATTTTTTTAAAGTTGACAGACAAATTTATTTTAATTATTGAAACTTAATTTTATAATTATATGATTCTACATATGCTCATTACTATGCTAGTTGGGTTCAATTATATTTTTGACTTCTATCACCTGTGGAATTTATCTTTGCTAACATTTTCCTTTGCTAGGAGCTGGAATATTTACATTTTATTTTTATGAACTACTTCAGCGTCCCATGGACCTAGGAGAGCAAGAAGAAGCCAGTTCAGACAAGGCCGCGCGCGCGCATAGGTGAACTCGTGCATACATAGACATTTAAGGAATATTTAATTTTTTCAGTCAAGTAAAGTCAAGTTTACTAATCATAGAATAGAACACGCATTTTTAAGGAATACCAGACTTGGTCTTGAAGACTCTAAAAGCAAGGAGAAAAAAATTCACGAATTTTAATGGAGTTGTAACTAACAACCTCCACATCGCAAACTAATCACGTCGAGCTGGCTGACTACTTTCATTGAGACCGTGACAGGCTTGAAATGAATTGAAAAAAACAATTACATGCATGCACCCAAATGTAAAACTCCGAACGTTGAATATTGACATATGATTCTTACTTTCACATGAATATCATGATTTTTATTTAAAATATTTTTAAATATTATATTATTATTATGTATATATCTCATCTATCGTTAGAAGATATTATTTAATATTATTATATAATTATTAGTTATTATTTGATTTTATTTCTTAATACATACTCTGTCTGTTAAAAAATATAAGGCATTTTTTGATGAGTTGGATGTTAAAAAATGTAAGATATTTTTAATCTTTTGAGGTGTAATCATTATCTTTTTTTAAAAAGTGTCCTTATTGATAGTGACTTTATATTTATTATAGGATATTTAATAAGGATAAATATAAAAGATAGGATTAATTTAAAAATAGATAACTACTTTATTGACAATAAGATTGGATTAAATGAAAGGAGTATAATGTATCTTTCAGCATAATAATAGACATAACATTTTTTATATTTCTCTTGCTTGTATGATCTGTCGTGTTTCATGGCACCGGAGCCTTCTCTTTTTTTGGGATTCTTCTCACAGCACTGCTCTTAACTCTCTGCTCGATTCATCCCAAAACCGCCCTTGGCTACAGTTGTCTTTTGCAATTCGTTCGAGGAAGAAGTTGAGCATCTTTCTTAAGCTTTTAAGAATTCAGGTGGGACCCACTTTAGTCTTTGTGATTTTCAACATCCTTCGTATGCTTTGTTGTGCTCTTTGGTTTTTTTTTTTTTTTTTGATATTTGCTGCACTACAAGACGTTCTTTCTTTCTTTCTTTTTTTTTTTTTGATAAAATGGCATCAAACTTGTCTTCTTTCTCATTGGATTTCTGGAACTCTTGTAATATCTGATTACGCCGAATCCATGTGGGTTCATCAACTTTGGTATTTTAGCTTTGAAGTGGTACTCACCATCTCCCCTCGGCCATTGTATTTTTTTTTTTTATCAATGAAAAAAATCTGAGATTATCCAACCTATTTTTGTTCTGTTAATTAGTCCTAATTATCATTTATGAATGAAAAGTACGTGTGGTTTTTTAAAATGAAGGAAGCTTTGGCAATAGATGTCACACTTCTTGTTAAATCCTTTATTGAAGATGACATAAAATTAACTAGTTGATTGGATGATTAGAACAGTAAAAATAATCAAATTATAAGGTTATTTCAAAATATTTTTACTATTAGTATTCATTAGCAATTCGAGCACCTTGAGATTGCTAAGGAGCTGTGGGATCACCTCCATACCTCTTTTAATTTGTCTAATCAATATCAATTATACAAAGACCTGACCGTTCTAAAAAAGAAAAAAGGTTAGCCATTACTTGAGTTTCTTTTTAAGATGGAGGTTATATGGAATCAATTAGCCTATTGTGAGCCTACATTTAAAAATGAAGAGAACGTTAAAACCTTCTTCAAATGGCAAGATCAACTTCATCTTATATAGTTTTTGGTGGCCCTTGCTAATACTTTGAGCCTGTTTGTGCCTCCTTGCTCCACTAGAGCCTACTTCTGACTCTTGAAGATGCTCTTCCTTGTCTTCATTCTAAGAAAACTCGTTTGGGTCTTCTCCAACAATCCCCTACCAT